GTGGTCTTCTACAAAATAGATAAGCATAGTACTTGTATCACAAAGATATGGACAGGGATGAATGACCATATCTTTTATAAAAGCTAAATAAGTTAATAAGTGCATAATAAATGCTAAGTAATGTTCATTATTTTAATTACCATCCTCACTGGTTGAAATTTCCCATCATATTTTAAACTCAATATATAAGTCATAAGGGTAAGAACCTGGTTTTCTTCTTTCCTCCCATATCTCTAGACTCTAACATATAAAAAATGCAGGGTAAATTTTTAAAATTAATAACCTGTTACTTTGAGGACTTGTTCAGAAACTTCTTTGGCAGGGACTGCGAAAACTACCCAACACTAAGGAGACATCTGACACACCAAGTCCTGCACAAAGTAGGCTAAACTGAAAAATGATTCCATGTGAAAGTTTTCTTCCTTCTAGAAGCTGCCAGTGTTCAGAATCCTAAACATATAGTACAAAATCAAACAAAAAATATTAAATTGATATAATTGATGAAAGTGATGGTGATGTACCTTGAGATTCTTACTGAATATAAATTAAAACAGTATTTTTAAGATATAGCAATAAAAACAAGAAAATCCTATTTGCTTAAGAAATGCAATGTTATGATCTAATTATATTTTCATTCAGTTTAAGGCAAACAGTGTGGACAAATCCTGTCCACGAGAGTGAGAAAGATGTGTAGGAAGACTTAAGTGTACAAATCTTTTTTGAATAAAACATTTGCATCTAGTTAAGGAAGCAGAGGCAAAATGTAACTGGAAGAGTGGGTGAAATCAGATTATGGGAAACTTTGAAAGACAGCTGGGGGTTAGGGTTTGATGGAATAAAATAAAAAGCAGAGCGTTATCGTAAATTCTGGTATGGTGGTATTTCATGGTGAAAAACCATTTTCAAAAGTAATAGGGAAGATGGATCAGTGCAAATGCTTGTAATTAAAGACATTAGGAAGGAAGCAGTAAAGATTTTGCAGAGAAAAATTAATGTCCTAGAAATACTACATTTGACCAGCATTCTGAAAATATAGTTCATATATAATCTTACTAATTTATACACTTATACACCATGGACAAGTCACTTCTCCTTGACTGTGCTTACTTATATCTAAATTCAGAGGGTTGGACTCCATTACAGTTCTCCACAACATACTGGTAGTAAGACAGACAATTTCAGATAGAACAGAGAAAAGTTAAAAATTTTAAGTTACATATTCTTTTTATTTCATATTTTTACAATTACCTTCTTTATGTGAAGTTATACTGGTTACACATTAGCAGAATGATATAATTTTTCAAAAGAATCTTGACTTTTGCTTTTAGTCATGAGAGAATAACAGGGTCTGGAGTTATCATCCTATCATAAAAATTGGAAAATGGAACCAAAGTAATAAACAACAGTTGTCAGACATTGGCAAGCAGGCAGCACTGTGATGAAAACAAGTAAGGTGAACCCTATGAAAACCTTAGCTTTCTGCCTACCAGCAATTTCTAAAGTCTGTATTCAGCAATGCAAAATTCAAAGTCTGGCACCCAATAAAAAATTTTAAGTATGGAATTGAAGCAGGAAAATATAACCCTTAGTAATGAAGAAAGGCAATCTACAGAATAAATGCACAAATGACAGAGAAAATTAAAATAAACAGAAAGTATGTTAAAACAGGTTTTAAAATACGTGTATGATGTTAAGATTTAAAGAAGAACATGAAAGTAAGGAAGAAAGGTACAGAAAATATAAAAAAGACCTAAATGGAATTTCTAGAGATGAAAAATACAGTATCCAAAATTTTAAAAAATGCACCAGCTATAGTTACAGCAGATTAGACAGTGCAAAGGAAAAGATTTATGAATGTGAAGCCATAGGAACAGAAACTGTCTCAAATAAAGCACACAGACAAAAATACTGGGGGAAAAACACAGCTTCAGTGACTTGTGAGTCAACTGCAAGTGGTCTAACATATATGTATTGAGACCCATAAAAAGTAAAGCACAGAAGATATTTGAAGAAATTATGGACAAAATTTTTCTAAATTTGATGAAAGCTGTATATGCACAGATCTAAGAAGCTTTTATAATTCCAAGTAAAATACACACAAAACCACAACCAGGTTTACCCAAATCAAATTGCTGGCAATTATTGGCAAAAAGTATATTTAAAAACAGAAAAGGTACATTAAGTACAAAGAAACCTATATGGTATTGCATACTTATCAGAAACTATGCATTCCGAAAGTCAACGAACAATTTTAAAGCACTGAAAGAATAACAACTAATTATGAAGAAGGACAATCTAAAAGTCTATTGTCAGAAAAAAAAATCTTTCAGAAATGAAGGCAAAATAATAATAATTCACCAATCAGCCCAGAAATTCTGGGAGCCTCTTTGTCTTCTTTCAATCATCACTAATCACCAGGAAAATGCTAATCAAAATCATTATAAGATATGACCTCACACCTGTTAGGATGGCTATTATCAAAAAATAAAAGACAAATGTTGTCAAGGATGTGGAAAAATTAGAACCTTTGTTCATTGTTGGTGGAGATACAAAATGGTGAAGTTACTCTGGAAAACAACAGTATGGAGGTTTCTCAAAAAGTTAAAAATAGAACTACCATGTGATCCAGCGATCCCATTTCTGTGCATATATACAATAGAATTGAGATTAAGATCTTGAAAAGATATATGTACTCTGGGTTCATTCCAACATTATTCACAATAGCCAATGTATGGAAGCAATCTAAATGTTCATTGATGAACAAATGGATAAGAAAAACATGGTATATACATACAATAGTAATTAAGCCTTCAAAAAAGACATGTTTCCATTTGCAACAACATAGATGAACCTAAAAGACATTATACTAAGTGAAATAAGCCAGTTACAGAAGGACAAATACTTCATAATTCCATGTATATAAAATAGTATATAAAATAGTCAAACTTTTGGATGCAAAGAGTAGAATGGTGGCTGCCAGGGCCTGGGAAAGAGGGGAAAAAAAGGGTTATTCAATAGGTATAAAGTTTCAGTTAGGCAAGAAGAAAAGTGCTAGAGATCTTCTGTACAACATAGTACCTATAGGTAACAATAACTTAAAAATCCATTAAGAGGGTCAATCTCATGTTAAATGTCCTAACTATAATAAAACATGAAGAAATGAAGGCAAAATAAATTTTTTTTGCAGAAAAAAACACTGAGAAAGTCCATCACTAGCAGATCTGTAAAACGAGCTATGTTCAAAGTTCCTCAGGCCAAAGGAAATAAGACAAAGAGAAATAAGGGCAGGGTCTCTCAAGCTTCTAATCAGAGACAAAACAACAATAATACTATATAATCCTATATAATAAAGAGCTAATATGCAAATGGTTGTCACGCCCTCACGCCCTCACACCATCACACCATAATGGCTCAGACACTCAACACTGGGGAGAGAGGAATGGGGACCACCAGGCTGCAGCTCGGGAGAGGGACAAGTTGCCCGCCCCACGGTCCCAGGCACCAGCGGCTGGGGCTGTGGTCCAGGAGAGGGGCAAGCTGCCCACTTCGTGGTCCCAGGCAGCTGTGGCTGCGGCCCAGGTGAAGCCGCCCGCACAGGGTCCCCTGCGGCTGTGGCCAGCCTGGGTGAAGCTGGCCTGGGTCCTGGGTGCCTGTGGCCGACCAGAGGGAGGGAAGCCCGGGTTCCGGGTGCGGGGCGAGGCAGAGGTGGTTAGGGGCAATCAGGCCAGCAGGGGAGCAGTTAGGGGCGATCAGGCCAGTAGGGGAGCAGTTAGGGGTGATCAGGCAGCCAGGCAGAGGTGGTTAGGGGCCATCAGGCAGGCAGGCAGAGAGGTTAGGAGCGATCAGGCAGACAGGCAGGTGAGCAGTTAGGAGCCAGTGGTCCCAGATTGCAAGAAGCAGTTGGACATCCCCCGAGGAGTCCCAGGTTGGAGATGGTGCAGGTCGGGCTGAAGTACTCCCCCCCCCCGCCCCCTACATGAATTTCGTGCACCAGGTCTCTAGTAACAATGATAATACTTTAGTATTATTACAATAGTAGTAGTTTACTATTGCTGATAACAAATACCCACAAATGTAGCAGTTCAGAAAAATATATGTTTATTACCTCACTGTTTCTGTGGGTCAGTACTCAGGCATGGCATAGCTAGGTCCTCTGCTCAAGGTCTCCCCAGGCTGCAATCCAAGTGTTGGCCAGGCTGCTTTCTCAACTGCAGGCTTTCCTGGGAAAGAATGGGCTTCCAACCTCATTCGAGTTTTAGGCAGAACTCATTCCCTTAGAGCAGCGGTTCTCAACCTGTGGGTCACAACCCCTTTGGGGGTCGAACGACCCTTTCACAGGGGTCGCCTAAGACCATCAGAAAACACATATATAATCACATATTGTTTTTGTGATTAATCACTATGCTTTAATTATGTACAATTTGTAACAATGAAAATACATCCTGCATATCAGATATTTACATTACGATTCATAACAGTAGCAAAATTACAGTTATGAAGTAGCAACAAAAAGAATTTTATGGTTGGGGGTCACCACAACATGAGGCACTGTATTAAAAGGTTGTGTCATTAGGAAGGTTGAGAACCACTGCCTTAGGGTCTTATGACTGAGTGTCCTGACTCTTTGCAAGTTATTAGCTGGCGATCACCTGCAGATTCTAGAAGCCAGACACAATGCCTTTCTATGTGGGTTTCCTCGACATAGCTGCTTACTTCATCAGGCCAACAGGGAGAATTTCTTGCTCCAGTCTGCTAAGATGGTTTCTTACAGAATATAAAGTAATCAGAGAATGACATTCCAGCACCTTTGCCATAAACATAATCTAATTAAGGGTTGCCATCCCATCACCTTTGCTAATTCTAGGAGCAAGTCTCAGGTGCCTCCCGAACTCAAGGAAGGTGAGCTACACAAATGCACGGACATGAGGAGGTAAAAATCATTGGAGGGGTCACCTTTGGGTCTGTGTGCCACATTATTATCATGAAAACTTGCTGCTTAGAAAAAGGTAAGTGTGTTTAATTTTAGCAATAGTCCTCCATCATTCTAATTAGGTGTTGGTAAATTTCCTGGGTCGCATCCTGTCCAAGGTAAAAATCCACATGATTGTAGTGTGGAATACATTTGTAATAAATAAGTCTGGTGATGTTCGGGAGTAAACTTTCAATGTCCCTGGGATCAGCCACAATGTCATGTCCACCACTCCACATTGCTGTTGGCACTTCCATCTTAGTAACGTTGTATAAGGGAGGTGTTAACTAAATACAGTTAAAGAGAGGGAGAGAAAAAAGAAGAGTTTTCACGAAAAATCACATTAGAGAAGTAACAAAATCAGTTTTTAAGCATCTACTTTAAATGTTAAAAATGTGCAGTTAGGATACACTTAGTGATATATAAACATTAAAATGTGAAATTTACTTGAAAACACTTTAGTGCAAAAATATGAATTGTAAATTTTAAAAGACCACCATTATACTTTTGATTTGATTTTTGGGGAAATAGAAAAGGATCCTAGAGAAAACGGACACATTTCTTTGGTGGGGCATCTTTCTAGTAGCACTTGGACTTGGAATATGTTCTTTTCAAACAAAATTTTGGATGGGATAAAATAGGACAAATATCAATACCGCTCCACGTGTGCAGAAGTCTGGGCCCAGGGAATTATTGACATTTGAGCAGCCTCTTCAGGGAGCGTTGAGACCCGTACATAAAAACACACATTTGAAATACAATGTTAAAAAGGCAGCCTGTTACAGAAAAATCGGGCCTGGCAAGTTTTTCCTGCCCACTTCTTTCTGGTAACACTACTCTCATGCTGATTTGACAAATTCCACTCCCCCAGTTCCAGGGTAGTCCAGGGGACCAGGCCTGGCCAATTTGTTCTTCATTCTTCTGGCCACAGCGATTATATGAGATGACTAAAACAGGGCCCGAGTTCTCTCTGGAACTTTTTGCCAGAGCTATTAAGAAAAACATTGCCTTTTCCTTTGGGTTTGCAGTTGGAAGAACTATGTGAGCTAGATACATCAGTCACCATCCTACTACTACCATCTTGGAAAGAACTTAAAAATGGAAACAGCATATGAAGGCAGAATTGAGAGAGAAAAAGCAAGAGAGAGCGAACCCCAATGCCAGTGTTTAAGTTCCTGGCTATTGTGAGTTTACCATTGTACATTTTAGCTCAGTAAAGCAGTATAATAGAGTTTGTTTCTGCTACTTGCAACTGGAAGTCTTACCTTTTACCATTTGCTACAGAATAACTTGTTTTCCCTCTAAATTCACATGTTAAAACCCTACCCCAAATATGATTGTATTTGGAGATAAGGCTTTTAGGAGATGATTAGGTTAAATCCAATAGGATTGATGGCCTTATAAGGAGGGAAGACAGAGGTCTCTTTCTCTCTCCAAGAGCACACACCGAGGAAAGACCATGTGAGCACATAGCAAGGAGGAGGCGCTCGGCAAGCCAAAGGGAGCCCTCCCCAGAACCCGACTAGGCCGCTGCCCTGTTCTCAGACTTCCGACTTTCAGAACTGTGACAAATACATTTCTGTTGTTTAAGCCACTCAGTTACGGTATTTTTTTAAATCTCAGCCTGAGCAGATGAATATACAATAGTTAATTTTGGCAGCAAACAGTTTACCCTCAGTTTGTTTGGGTTTTTCTTATTTTCTCCCAAAGTCCTACACAAACTTTTCATAGCGAAACCTGAATCACCATTTTAAAAAATAGAATCTGTAAGCTTAATGATAAAGCTAATACCTGTGAGTCAGATCTTATCCAAACAGGTATCCGAGTCTCACATGGTGAGGCCATCATCTAACAGCTTTTTCTGGGGCAGCTATATACTCTTGCTAAAGCAGGGAATCGGTTAATTACAAGAGTAAATGGTACATCGCCATAGCATGTTTGTGTGTTTGGGCACACCCACTTACACACATATAACCATAGCAGTTTAGAGGAAAATCGAATTTTTCACACCAATTAAGTTACGCATTTTTACTGTTGTGGTTAATATGGTGGCACTTTAAATTTGCTATTCAAAAAGTTTCCAAATTTCCTCAGCCCTGATTTGTAAAGCCCTTGTATCTTTTTAAAAATTTTTTTATTATTATGTTTTAGAGAGAGAGAGAGAGACAGAGAGGAAGGGAGAGGGGGAGAGAGAGTAACATTGATCTGCTGCCTCTTGAACACCTCCTACTGGGGATCTAGCCCTCAACCTAGGCATGTACCCTACCTGGTTTTCACAGATAATGTCAGGAAATATCTTGACATACCATTCTCTGGCTGATAGCACTGCTTCTTCCTGAGGGGAATATTTCTGTTTGGTGTATCTTTAATTATCCTTTATTGTTTATTAAAAAATGAATAGCAAATGACTTTCCAAGACAGTGTTAATAAGACAGTGTTAGCTCCTTTTATGAGAGATGGATAAGAAGTCAGAGAATATGTTCTAGAAACATAAATTATGTATCTTTATTTCTCTCTTTAAAATATGGTCTCAAGCGCTAAGAGTTCTTTCTTCTTCCTTCCTTCCTTCCTTCCTTCCTTCCTTCCTTCCTTTCTCTCTCTCTCT